GCTGCCGCGTAAATATTGAAGCACGCCTATTCTTCTCGCTTTGTGTATCGTCATGAGAAAATGTTGCGGCCGCTCACGTGTTTCTCGAGGGTCTGACGAATGGCTTCGCGTTATGCATCAATTTTCGATGATTATGACGGCGCGATCGTCATCGAATTCCGGGATCGCTCCGCAAGATTTCGGTGGCCGCTGAGGTTGGGTCGGACTCGATTGCTGGAGTTTAGGGCTCACAGCTCGAAAACGACCGCATCCGGTCAGTCACTGATGAGTTCCAGCAGTTTTTGATCGACGACGGCAAGTCTCATCGAGTCGGTTACCGTGAGAGCGAGGAAAATATTTGCAATCGCGGTAAGCTAATCTCGGTGTCGGTTCCTCGCATCTTCACGGGCTTCCTAAGCTTTCACACATCGCCGCAGAAGTTCTGCGGGATTTACCGGAGTTCTTCTCTATTGCTTAGGTCACAATGGTGCAACTTATACCGGCAGTGATTTTCCCGATTTTTACGATGACAATCCACGAGCGGGTCGCGTGTTTTTCTCAACTCCATTGTCTAGTCAAAACATCTTTCTTCGAGGCTCCTCGAGGATATTTCGGTGTAGGATAGGACTCATTTCGGTTTTCTCCTTATTCGGTCAATCACATCTCAATTGATTCGGGAGTTCCGCCATGCCGTTCATGGAGAGGCGGCAGGGAGACCTCTCACGGAAGTACTGCGAGGGAGTGCCTCGGGAGCCTCACACGAGCAGACGAGACAGCGAGCCTTCCCATATACCAGAAAGAATTCGAAATCTAGAAACTCGGTGTCGAGGAGGATGCCAGTCTCATTGCCGAACACATACAATACACACTCACTTTATCGCAACGATCCGGTCAATCAAGAAACATCAGCTCTGCCTCGCAGTTCGTGACGCTACTCAGGATGGCGATGATCCTCACAACTCACTGTCACCTCCGCGACACCGAAGATGAACGCTCAGCGAAAAGTGGGGTTAACCCTTTTCGATCTAAGTTGAAATTCCGCGAACTCCATCGGCAGACAGGATGCGTTCGCTCCGACTTTAGTGGTCGCAGTAAGCAAGCGCCGCTAAAGTAAGTAATGCCCGGTGGCGCAACTGGGATAGCCGCTTCGCTTGGGGAGCGTCAAGACAACGCCCAGGCGCCAAACGCTCTGAAAACTACAAAAAGACTCCGATAGAGACCCCCCAACAAGCACCCGGTTGCTCACATCGATTCCTCAGTGGGTGATGCATGCTCACAGTACATATCGGACAGTGACCAAACTCAACCCACTAATATTTCTAAGCGCGCGCACACATCTTCCTGACGCGGAGCTTATGGAGCTGAGGGCAGGATTTCCTAGTTTATACCATTCGTTTCCGGGATATCGGAGCTTCTCTGTTCTCTCCGTCGCTTGGGGATATTCCCCACTAATTTCCTCCGGGCGAGCAGGCTCTCCCGCTCGCTACCGTGTTGAATCGACAGCGTTTGAAAGGACAGGATCCTCGTGAACGTACAAATAAGTAAGAAGACCATTGCATTCCGCCACCTGGATCAGAATTCCGGAACAGAATTTCGGAGCGAGGCGAACGAGAACGGATTCACTCCTTGGCACTATAAGGAAGCGAAAACTTATTTTTCCTCCGCGACAGGGGCTCAAGCGACTTTGCTTCGATCCGAGGGCGGGCTGAGAAAACACGCGGTTCCCACTCTCGATGGAATGCCGCGGACCACGCTTCCACTCTTAGGCGGGGATCCTCTGCCCTTCACACAAAGGCCTCAATTCTCGGCATAGCTTAGTCCAAAATCATCGGAACCGTCAATCGCTCGATCTCCTTTGGAAACAGTAATGACCCACGATGGGTGAAGGTGACAGACTCCTTGGATCGGATCACCAATCCGGCGCCGGGATGAAACCTGCATGAGAGTCGTATCTATCGCTCATGTGCGGAAGCAGCCGCAATGAATCCGCAGTCGTGGTCTGTCACGCCGACGCTTTCTGGATCCGCGACTCGGGATCTATGCTAGTACATTCCGAATTTCGGCAGTTCAGCGATCCGGAATCGACCATGACGAAGTGGACACACGGCGAATCCCGAAAATCGGTCTACCCATAGACTATCGGGCGCCACGCTGCTCCCTAATTAGCTTCTCCGACCTGCGGGGCTCTAGCCCGCAAGCTATGTTGGACGATTCCATTCAGCCAAGCTTGAGCTTAGCGTGAGGTCCACATGGGAAATTTCACCGTTTGTATGAGCGACTCGCTAATGGTTGGATAATTTCGGGTGGATCAGTCTCTCCGATTCCGGAGTAACAGGATCTCGCGGAATTTCGAGCTGTTCATGCTGATTCTCAATCGGCTCTTTTGCTGAATCATCTCCCTCAAACGCTGAATTGATCTGAACGTACTCTTGGCAGTCCCTCTCCGTAATGGTTCGGGACACCTATCGTGCCCTCGGATGGTTGCTAACCTAGAGCGTCATACGTAAAGACAGAAAAGCAACAATTGCCGCGACGAGCGACTTCGGAGCCGTCAGCTGCGATGGTTTCGGACTCGTTTTCATGCAAGCTCACGATCACCGCGACCGGTTTCCATGCGTAACGAGGCATCAGAACGGAATGAGAATAGTCTTCCGTATGAGAATCAAGAACATATGCGGCTGCAGCCAAACCTTCTGCTGTGCCGGAGCAAATCCGCTGAGCAGCTCCCATCGCCATCTCGAGCCTTCGATTGCCCCGCGCGGGCTCCGCGGAGGGCATGCCGTCAGAGCCGATTCCCCCGAAGCAACCGAGTAACACAGAAAAATTCTCGAGAGCTTTCTGGAGCTTCACTTCGGTTCTGGTATTGACGCAAGGATCTTTGTACGCAACCCGACCTTGGATTAAATGAATCCAAAGACGAATCCACTTTCTGATGAGCCTCATTCACACCGTGAAGAGATCCATTATCCATTCTCCCCGTGTTTTCGTGCCGATTTCATCGTAATGCAAACGCCAGGGCCGAGTAACCCATGACGGGAAGCGGTTTCAGATCCAGCAGCTGGTCGCGGAACCGCGCCAACCTGCGCGTGAACGCTCACGACTCTGTCCACGGTCACATAAGCATTGTTTGTCCTGTACACCTGCCACGGCGATGCCGCCAACGTACTTACTCGCCTCTCCCGCTGGACGAAACCAATAATTGTCTCCGATTATGAGCACCATCAGGACTATTCCTAACGCAGCAGGGCTGCTCCGTGAGCTCGCCTTCCGAGTGATGGAGTTTGAAGATCATCAATCTCCATTGGTCGTTTGACCACATGCAGCCGACGATGGAAACTATCGAGCCGAATCACTCAGATAAACTCTGTCTCCCGCTATGAGAGCTCCCGTCTCTGCGCTCTGATGGTCCGGGAGAATTCAGAAATGAAAGCATTCCAATTCGGGGGACTGAGAGCAACACCGGGTAACTCAACGGAAGAGAAATCGGAGGGGCTTCGGTACTTGGAGAGAGGCGAACATTGGCGCTCAGACTTCGAACGAATTCTTATTTCCAGCGCTCGACTCCCTCAAGTCGGGAGAAGATGTGCACGGCCTATGACAAATCGACTGATCGTGATTCGATCTGCTGACTCAGAGTACACCTGTTTCACGCCCATTTTGCCAACGTGTCTCTTGGATGTAGATTTGCATGGGTAATACCGTCTGGACAGAAGTGTCATCCGAGTCTGTGGAATCGATTGCATTTTCCTGGGTCGAGAATTTTCCTCCGCTGGTCACATGATTGAGAGATGCTCCCATGGCCCGCCTGTTCGGAGAGTTCACCACTCAGTGTTCGGCTCACAAGCGAGAATGGCCTTGTCTCAAAAGAGAGCTCCTAATTGAAAGCTCGGTCAAGTCACTGATCTGAGGAGTAATTCTTTCTGTGCGTGGGCGGGGACTGGCAATAGCGTAGCAAAAGGATCTCGACGGCTCACGGGAACATGCTGTGGTTGAAAAGCGAAATCACATCCAGCTGGACAAAGTGTCCCAATTCCATCTCTCTTCCTTTCCATGAAAGCGGAAGGGAGTAATGTGGAATCCAAATATCTGTACTTCTCCTGTCTTATTTATGGCTACTCATCGGCTGCGCAGCTAACAACAATGGGATATCGAATCTGGATTCATATCGATCGGTGTACATCGGCATGGGCATCGGTTGGCCACAGGAAGCGGGTATCCGGCGAATGAGTCGCCTTTACGTTCGTTCCCAGCATTCTCTTATTGACTGCGAAGCGGCTGTGAATGCCCGGGCGTTTGCCGTGAAGCGAATGGGGGAAACGAAGCAACGGAGTCAGTGACCATAAATCATTGGCGCTCGAAATCTGTTCGGTCCCACCGGATAACCGGGTAATCTTCGCTTGTCTTTTATGAGCCTCGTTGCCGTCATGAGCATCGAGCGGGAGGGCAACCGAGCGATTGCTCCATGAGTGCCCCGTGCCCCCTGTAATTCCACGGGAATGAGGTTCTATAGAGAGATCGTCGACACGTAGCTGCCGGAAAACCCTGGCAACGTTGAAGTCTTCCTCGACATCCTGTAGGAGCTCAGAACTATCGTCTCGCGGCGAGGGGGGGGCGATATCTATTCCCACGGTATGCCCCGCACCTTCCGTGGAATAACTCCCGATCGGTTTCACGGCGGAACGGATACGGTGTCATCGATGGCTTCGACTGAGATGTCAGTTAGACGGGTCTATCCCAAATTGGTGCCTAAGCCCTTTCGCGGAGCCTCGTGTTGACTCCCAGACTGGCCAGCATTCTGTCCTCTCCTCATTCTCTATCCTTTCCTCTTTTCTTCCTTTCTCCGGCTTTCCTCTGAGCTGATCCGGCAACGCGATGTGGCCTCTCTTGTGTGACCCGGTGCCTTTATATGCGCGGCTTTAGCTGCGGTTCCACCGACCGCGTGGAGATCAACGGACCCCGTTACCTTGATCACGAGGGTCGTGAATGAACTTGTGTTGGGAATATCGCCCTCGAGACTTGGACTCAAAGTCGGGTGAATGTGGATGTTTTCTTCATCTGTGGCCAAGAACCCATCTTTCCAGGATGGGCTCGGGTAAGTGAATCGGCTTATTCCCTCCCGAATGCACTCGGAGATACAAAAGACCACGAGCACTCCCCCGATGTGCTCGTGATTCGCGTGTACGATAAATGCAATGAAAATGGGCGGTTTGTCGAGCTCGCCGAGACCGAGGGATTCCTGTAACTTCGGAAACAAAATCCTCACGCAGACGAGCTGCGCAATCCGCCTCCGAGGAGCTCGTGATTATCACGAACTTCTCCGCTCACCTCGCATTGTAGTGAAGTCGTGTCTCGTGACCCCTGAGCCCGAGTAGGATTCCTCGGATGGCGAATCGGCAAAAACTTCACGACTGTGGATGCCCCGCCGGGAGCCAGGCGCAAGTCCTTCCGGTTGGGAGCCATCGAGGCCTCTCGGGAGATCTCGAGAAATTCATCAAGACTACATCCATGGATTGAAGATTGGCGCGGATCTGGAGATCTGGTCATCTCCGGCATCAGGAGTCATATGCAGTGATTGAACTGGAGAAACTGAATTTTGAAGCCTTGAGGATCTTGGATTCTTTTGCTGGCGACCAAAATCCCGAGAGTATCATCTGCTCGAGGGCTCTTATAAATCTTGCAGAGACGTTGGTGGACACGGAATGATGCGGTTCTTCCTTTCGGAAGGGGCTCTGCAATACAATTGGTGCACGCGGTCACCATTGTTTGCCCTGTCATAATAGCTAGCGATCGTAAATGCTCGAGCGAATGGATAGCAATTCCTTTTTCGGCATTCAAAGATTCTTTCTTCATTTTCACAATTTTCTTCTTGCCTTCATTTTTTCTGTTCAGAGCAGCGGAAGATTCTTTCTGTTTGCCTACCACCGACACAGATTCGACGTCTTCTTCGCCGAAGGAGAGCTCGTGAACGATTGTCGAGTGGATTTTATCGCGGAGTGTTTGTAGTCTATACCCTGATTGTCTTTTTTTAGAATTCTCGGCCGCTCCGGCTTGCAGCTGCTGCAGCGGCGGTGGAGCTCACGTCGGGCGGCAAAAGACCGCCAGAGCTGACGATGAAAATGATGATTATGACGAAGAGGTCACTACGACGATGCTGCGAAGCGAGTCGACCATAACAGTAGCGAGTACTACCATAGCGAGTAAAATCTGGAGCCTAAGAACGCGTCGGTGCAAGTTGACGGAACTGATAAATCATTTTTTTGGAGTCGAGACTCATTCTCAATCGCCGCGTTCCTTGGCCCGACCTCACGCTATAGCGTCACCCTGGTGCTTGGCTCGGTCCCAGACGAGGAAGAGAAACCCGACCGCGTTTCGGTGATGAGGGGGAAACTCGGGCGCGGAGAATCAATCACATGGAAGTCATCTCCCGGAGAACTTCTGTGGGATTCCCCCTCCGAAAAGCCGAATTTCATGACTCATGATTATGCCCAACTTCAGGCGGGACGTGATTTTCTTGGATTTCGTAGAACTTGGAGCGCTGGACGCCTTACCTTCCACAAAAAGCCTCGAATATACATATTCAGAGTGTGATTAATGAGGCGTGACGAATTCTCAAGCGCACTCACTGAAAAATCGTAGGAACGCCAGAGAATCTGCACGCGCGGCTAATTCAACCGTTCAGGGTGATTCGACTTCCGATAATTCAGAAGCGCTACCCATTCGTCACAGACGCTGACCCGCTTCAGCATACGTTTGATCGCAGGCGTGACCTTGTCGGTTTGAAGAATTTCCGCGACTCGGAGAGCAAGCTCTTTGGTCCACCATTCTCCGGAGAGAGGCGCGAACACACTCGAGTAGAACGTGCTCCTCGCGGATTTACGGTTACGCTGGTAGCTCAAGTGGAACACGAAACTCCGTGATCTAGCATGGCTCTAGAAGAAGAATGATGCTTCTCCGCATTCTCGAGTGCCGAGAAACTCGTGGTTCCTCGAGAGAAAGATGGAGACGATCTTATTGAGGCTCGAAAGTTGTCGCTCAAGAACGATCGGAGTCTTGGAAAGAATACGAGACGCCTTGGAGATTCCCGATGAGTCTCCCGCGGATACATCCTTTTCCTGAGAAGCTGTTCGTCGACCAACACTGGGAGCTATTCCACCGCGCGCATGAAGCCGAGAGTTTGGTGGGCACCAGCACCGTAATGAGTCAGTAGTCATCGATGTACGAATACATGCGAGCTCGGAGAAGGGAGACTCGGAACGTCACGGAAGAGCCTCAATTCGATGATACCGATAGTTGATAAAGAGCGAAATTTAAACCACCCGCCATCGATTCTGGTTGAAACCTCGCGACCCGTGGCGCCCCGCAGCGGACCCATGGCAAAACTTTCTCACCATCTCCTCTTTTCCTTCCTCCCAACCCTTCCCTGATCGGCGTTAGAGCTCTTCTCGCGAAGATCTTGGCGCACAGCCGGCATGGAGTTCCGAGCTCATGTTTCGAATATTCCTTCCGGGACTTGAGTGCAATGATTCCATTCTCGGTGAGATGAGCGCTCTCTAAATCAGTGAAGGCCCGAGAGTTGTCCCCAGAATATTGGAGCAAGAGGAAAATGTGAAGTTCCGGAATAATGTGGCTGCACTATACTGAGCGAAGTGCCTCGAAGTGTTTGCGCGAGATGACGAGCGAAACTCGTCGAAATAAATACGATACTCTTCTCGAGAGCCGTTAAGAGGGAATCGAAATGCTCGAGCGGTGGTTTAATGATTTTTCATCGAGGCGAGCCGAAATCTCCAGAGGTTCCCCGCTAGTCGGGACAGCTTTCGATTTTCACATAGATGGGGGAAGCTAAGTATTTCGAGCGTCCGTCAACGAGCAGAGCATCAAAGCTGCCGACGTGAGTTTTATTTCGGAAGATTGCCGGAGTTCCAAGCAAGAACCTCGGTTGGGTTTTGGGTTTAGCCTTCGCGGATGGAGTCTCCGATTCATTCCGAAGACTCAAATAATACCTGGCTGGATGATCTGTGCCGTTGTCTGCGGTATAACGATAAGTGCAGCGGACTTTCGGTACTCACCCAAAAATTAGCAATTCCAATTCACTTCTGGTCAGACACGTACGCATCCATCAAAGAACACATAATCCCAAGATCAGGAGGACGAGTGTATCCGCCTTTTTCTCACTATGTCAGCTTGGGAAACGAAACCATCTGAGAGTGGGTCACTGTAATGCATGCGAATATTTTTCTATATCTTCTAAAGATAGAAAGGTACACCGACGGCTGGTGGGATGCATGGGCAGATGGATATACAGATGGCTCGAGGAATCGATCGATGAATAGATGGTTGAAGAGACTCCGATCAAATCCACCGCCGTAAGATGAAGCGATCTATCGATCGGACGCTTGAATCGGATAACGAAAATGCAACACCACCGCGACGGCGTAGACACAACAAAATCAAGCCCCAACGGGAGCGTGTTCGTCACTTTTTGACACTTGTCGAGTCGAGATGGTGCATTGAAATGGTCAAGTCATCGATTTGCGCGCACTTCTTTCCAAACGCTCCATGAGCACCGTACTCATGAGGTAAATAATAACACTACTTTGTACTTTGGGGTAACGGCTGAACGCATCCACGAATAGCTTCGCTGTGGTGGGAAGGAAAGCGTGTTCCAGTGCGAGGGAAGAACGTCCTTTCCCATACCCACATGGGTTCCCTTGTCCCTTGCAGATTCTTTTCATTGGAATATGCATCCTGTATAAGCATTAATTTCCCGGCTCTGATAATTTTCGTGCTGGAAGGCACATAGCTCTCGGCCACCGTGTTCTGAGACTCGTGAAATTCAAGCGATCCCGTAAACGATTTCCCGCGTATCTTTCCCGACGCTCGTCGGCAACTCATCGCCGATCCCTATGTCAACGCTCACGAGGCTCAACCGGTCTGACCGAGCCACGGCGCCTCCCTGAATGCAAAAGAAAACTTCAGAACAGCTCGAAGCGTTGAATAGGCTGAATCATTATCATTGATGTTGGAGCGCTAGTACGGCAAAGTGAGAGCTTCACTCACCTCTGCGAACGAGCTCTATGCGAAGGAGGATTCTTAGGTGGGGAACAAGGATTCCAGGTCGCAGCCTGTGGAATCCCGCGTTGGACCACTCCGGCTTCCGAGAATCCCAGTGGGCTTTCGTTCCAGTCGGCTTCTCGACTCGTACGATTCCACACAGCAAGTTCGCGGATCGGGATCGGGTGTCGTTCCGTCTCTTCCCTCAAAAGTCGTTCGATGACGTTAAGGAGTGTCGTCGATGAGACAAGCGCTTAGGCCATCTGGCGAAGCGAATGCAGGTCCTGACAGTGAACTGCTGCGCTGACGACTAATTGGCATGATGAATGGAAACACCTTCGGCAGTCTGGCATTACGATTGGCAGTTCGTTTGCTCGCTCGTCGGCTTGCTCATAGACTGTCTATATATCGGTTGTCCAGTAGACCTAAATGATCATGGCGGCGATAAATTATTTCGGATTGGGTGAAGAAGGAGTTGAGAGCTACCGCAATACCGATTTCGAGCGCGCCCACCATCCTCCGAGCGACTGGTCGGCGGTCTCCCATTAGAAAATCAAACGAGAAGAAGCTCTAGACCCATTGACTCACGCTCGTCATGTGATTTTCTCCAGGACCGAGATGGACAATTCTCATAGTGAGGGTCGAATTGGTCGAGCGATGGGTGACGTTGGGAGGGAGAGCCCTTTCTGAGGAGAAAAGATACATTACTTTGAGTCGGACTGCAAAGCTGGTCTTCGCTGCGGTAGATGTGATCAAGCTGACGCCTTGCTTCCACGGACAACATTCTGGGACGCGATGCGGATTAACAGCCGAGCGCGGCTCGACACCGGTCAGTGCGAAACGATAGTCGTCGTCGACGGAGACGTTGTCGGCGAAAAGGGCGTGATGCCATCGACAACGGAACCGAGATGTTCAATCACCGACGCCTTCACTTTCCGATGACCATCATCGGGTTCCGCCAAAAAAAAGACGAAACCCTTCAACTAGGCGGTACCTACGGCCCATGAGAACGTCGCTGTCGATCTCTTGGAGACCCACCCCACGGTCATCTCGTCGGCCTTTGTGCACTGGGGAAGAGCGCTTTCCTCGAAAATTCCATTCCGGGCATTTTTTTTCTGGAAGAAAGTTCCATTCGCCTCACGTCCGTTCCCCGATGCAAGCTCCTCGGTGAAGCGGGTGTGACTGCGACGGCAGCGCTCGACTGGTCAGTCAAATCGAAGTTATTACTATAAAATCGAGGCATGCTCCAGAGATGTTAATGATTGGGTCAATCGACGAGCTGGAATGCATTGCTGCTCCTTTAAACAGTTCGATTCCGTGTACACGATGATGAGGGAAATTAAAATACCTCCGATCCAGAAGACGCTTTCGTCAAAAAGTCACACGAACAGCGTCGCGTGAAGCAATACCGGAGAATCAGAAAGCGACGGAGTTTTTTTGTCGTGATCCAGATTTGCCTATCCATGTCGAATCCAGTCGCGGTCATCTCCTCAGACCGCACCGAACTCCGCACTCCCGCGATATGCGTGATCACTCGTAAGTTAGCCCGCTCCCAAAGACCGAATTACAAGAAGATGGCTCGGATTGTATCAACAACGAAGATGCATCTATGCAGTACCAGCGACGTGCGCGGAAAAAACTAATCGGGCAAACGATATGGGATGAGTGAACGAGCTCACATCAAGACATCAGGATCGGCAAATGCCATTTCAATGACAAGGAATGTTCGGCTCGGGTTTGACGGCTCTCTCCTGATTGGACGGCTGAAATACTATCTGTTAGTTGATAAGTCAGTGGGACCTGCAAACGATGCAGTCATTGCGTCGAGTCAGGAGCCATTCCTGACGAGTGTAGGTCTTCTTCCCCGGGAGATCGGATGACGGGGCTTTCTATCCCGCAATGAACCGCTCGAGCAGTTCCCCCTCCCCGTAACTATGAGCACAGGTCGCGGCAGCGGGCGGTTTGACGGAGGTGACCACGGACTCCGTTGAACGGAGGCGGTGACACGCTTTGATTCGAAGGTTCGCGTGGAAGCGAGAGTAATACCACAGCAACGACGTGATGGGATTGTCACCAACTTTGTTGTTCGTCTCGTCCAGTTCATTCCATCCTGCCGGTGGCGGCATGGTTAGTTAAAGAGTGGTGCCGACGTTCCGGGAGAGCCATTGTCGTCAGCTGGTCGGTCAGTGTTGCATCATCGAAAGGCAGGTGACGGCGCCTGTGCTTACCGATGGGATGGCGGACGCGGAAATCCTCCCCGGATGGCGTGTTGACCACAACTTTGCAGAAGCGGCCTCACCACGATCTCGACAATGCAGCGATCAGTATGGCGAGGTCATTCCGAGAGTGAGGGGACGATCCTTCATTTATTCGTGCCGTCGATGTCAACTTCATCCTTTGAGTTCTAAGCGTCGACAAGCTCAAGGACGGACCGAAATCACTTGGGGAATTAAAGCGCGTTTTCTAACCGGTCGCTCATTGTTGTTTCCCCCGATGCAATGCCAGACCGAACATTCAAGCAAGCGAATTTGCTGAAGCCATCCTGACGGCCAGCCCTTGAACCGAATTCGGAAGCGATCGCGGCCAAATGAAGTCCTCGATGTCTATCCGTAGCGCTCTAATGAATCAGATCACGGTACTCGGTCGACAATGCTCCGGAATGTCGATCCTGTGAAGACAGCCCTTGCAGAAGTGAGCGCTGCTCGCTTCTCTGAACGCCAGGCCCTGATGGACGACATGTGGCAATCCTTAGTTCTGGGAACTCGAGGAGTGTCCGACCACTTCCACAATCGCTTCCACGAAGTTTCGCACGTGCTTCGCGGCGACCAGAACAATCGTAATTGTGGGTTCAGAGTCGCTGATTTTTATTTATTGGTCGCGTCTGCGGGAACCGTTCCGAGATAGGCTCTTACGTCGTCGAGCTCCGCTTAGGCGCCGCGCCGCTCTTGGCGCTCCGACCACATGGCCCGGAGCTGTGCTTCCGATTTCAGTCCCACGAAAGTCTTCGTGGCGCTCATTGAGATTTTCGCGCTTTGAGCTCTAAAGCGATGGGACGCTAATCCAAGAAGGCGAGCGTTATCCTGTCATTACGTAATGGTTTAAGATCGCAGAATGTTCATTCCCGCTTAGAGCTCATGGTTTGAAGCCGCGCCAGAATCAAGCGTGGAAAATTCGCGCGACACTGGATAGATAGGACACAAAGACGAGCCCGCGGCGCCGGCGAAACTCGAGTAGATTTTCTCTAGTCTAATTGCCGTTATTTTGAAGATTCACTGAACTCCGCTCGACAGATCGTCTCATTTCCGCGAGGGCCGAAGAGAGCTCAATGAATGGCTCCGCGTCAGAGCCCGACCCATAAAGTTCAAGCTGCACATCCTGTTGGAAGTGGATTGAGTGATCAAAGCTTGACCGTTCTCTCGGTCCCGTTCGTTATTCATGCTTCCGGACGTCCCAACGTATGCCTTTTTTTTCTAGGGCTCATCGAGACTCAATGGCGGACAAATCGTTGTCGCGATCCACATCGTCGCTGGTTCGGTCGAAATCGCTCCGTTTACCATCGAAAAGCAATGACGTCATCCAGGTGAGTGCTGGCGCAGTGTTTCGGACTTCACTACTATCCACCTTCAAAACCCCGACGGAACGAAATATCTCAATCGGATTGCACGCGTACACAAAATCCACCATGCTCAAAATCGAACACCGGTCAAGTGGTTCGTCGTGGGCGGCAGGGATGAGAGCGCTCCGTTATAGAATAATTATTCAAAACGGGACTCGATTACTCATTCAGAGCCAGCTCTCAAGTCGATCGCGTTACCCGACGGTGAGATACTCTGGACCTCCACAAACCTCCTTTTTGGGATGTTTTGCGAAGATTGTCAACGACGACGTTGACGCTGGCGGCCCGTGGCTTACAAACCAAATCGAGCCTCCATCCCCAATGACAGGAACTCATCTCTAGAACGAAGCTAGGTTCTCTGCAGGCTCGGGGAAGGTTCGAAATGACCAACGAACCCGTTTTCGATATGGACATCCGTTGCCATAAGGAAGATTCCACCCATGGAATTAGCTCGATTCCACGATCCGTAGCATCTTTTGCCTGACTTATCGGGGAAGGATTCGCGGCAACGATTATCTCAGAAGACGCTGACGCATCCGCTAGAAATTTGCAAGCTGGAAACGCCGGCTCCGTGTCGATCCGATATCTTATTATGTGTTTCCACTGCTTTATCAGCGCGATGCTCATACAAGAGGCATCTATTTGTCCGTAATCTACTCCAGAAAATCGGCCCGACATCGCATCGGCATGCGACTTCGGAATGATCGCTTTTTCAAATACATGGACAAAATGGGATTGAGATTGAGGATCTACCGAAGTCTCGTATTCCCGCTTGGATGAGATCAGCGCCTTGTTCCCGGAGGAGGAACTCCCGTATGACATCGTTTCCGTTTCAGGAGAATATCCGGAATGTCAGCACGCTCTCTCGGAGTGGATCTCTCCGCGATAGAAAAAACAAAGACGTCGTCGCGAACCCGGGCAGTCGACGAAGGGACGACATCCTGCAAGGGAATGCCAGTCAGGACAATAAGGAGAAAACCATGTCTCGAAGTTGCTACGGATCCCTGCGTGAGTCTCTACTTCTTGCTCCTTTCCTCGCTCTCGAGTTGACTCGATCCTCCCATTCCCAGGCGCAACAGAGAAAGCTCTCGCGGCGCGCTGAATCTCAACTCGCTAATCTAATACTGGTGCGTCTCACTCTAGCCTCATCGAATGGAGAAGTGAAGCGGGGCGGACCAGGTACTTTTCCGTTCCGGAGACCGTTCTCGAGAGGGGGATCCTCGGATAAGAAGACTCCCAACGACCCCAAGCGCTTCCCGTCATCACCCACGACTACGAATCGCTCCACAAGAGATTTCGCGTCGGATTTGAAACATCTGATCGCGGAGCACCTAGAACTCCAAAAGGAATACGCGAGAGTGCGGCAGCAGCTCGTTGAGAGATCCTTGGAGAGGATTCCGATGAGCCCGGTCAGCGATCTGACGAGCATTCCGGAGTTGGAAGCCGACGCTAGCTCTCCGATCCTCAGTGACAGAGAGGTTCGTCCTATCGAAGATCCCCTTTTCGGCTCCAAGAGCCCTGACGGTTCTAGCCGGAACCTCCTTCTGAGCCCTGATTTGAAATTATATATGACCGAACGATATATTCCTCGCCAACACCAGACAATGCCAAGATCGAAGCGGAGTCGCGAAGAATCAGCAACCGAAGCCTACAGACGAGAGGTGCTGAGACTTCAGGTAGAACTCCATCGCATGCAGAAACTCTACTGGAACCAAATAATCCAAAACGACCGTCATGAGAAACACGAGTCCGGACGAATAGTGATCGATCTTCTTGATCAGCTCGAAGTTCATCGGAGCGAACTTCACGAAAACAAATCGAAGGTATGTCGAACGCGATCCATATACTGGAAATTGAGCTGTATCTCTGTCCAATCGTCTACCAAGCTATCCGATGGGGGAAAGTTTCACACACTAAGAAGCTTATCTGTTTTTCAAAAGATTCGTAAGCTGGAAGATCAGCTTGGTCAAAGTGTTCGCGAAATCGCCTGTTGTCGTGACGCGTTGAGCGATTACCAAATTGAATTACAAGGTCTCAGACGGCAGCTCAAGGAGACAACCGCCGAGCTGATTGAAACCAAGGAGAACCTCCAATTCGCCGAGGATGAATTGAAGACTATGAGCGAATCTCTCCGGGAATCCGAGAAAGAGCGGAGGGGTATGTTCATCGCTTATTGATCTGACGGGCTCCTCGCCACCGAAATTATTCAAAGGGCGGCGAGTCACGGCTCAAAGAAGGCGCGAAAAACGCCGTCTTCACATCAGCCTCTCCTTCCCTGCAGACTCGGGTCAGGACTCTAGCTATGAAATCAAAATGAATGGTACGGTCAGTCATTCTGCGGGGACTAGCGAGATCTTCCAGCTGCACAATGTTAGTGTCGCATCCTTGAGGAATCTTCCGTTGTGAAGGAGCTGAATATCCATGTTGCACCAGTTGTCGTAGGAATCCAATCGTGACGCTCATTCTTCCTTTAAAGATCGTACTTGAACTCGGACAGAAAATCGAGGCTCTGGTACGCGGAGATTGCCTCTTCGCCGAAGACCAGTTGGATCTTTCCGAGGACGTGCTGAAAATCCTTGCCGGAACGCCCTCAATTGACGCAGCTGATGAGAGCGAATACCAGGTATGAGAAAAAACTCTGGCTCGAAAATCGGGATCGTCGCCTGCGAAGCTCGCATTTCATCGATATTTGGATTGGGTGCTCGTACTATACAATTCGGACTGTTCCCTCAGGCGTCCGTCGATCCAGCCCGGCCATCCGAAGCTGGGAAGCCGTTGAAGGAATCGATCAGCCTAGTGGTTGATCAATGCGTCCATCTCAGGGATATCATGAGGGCAAGAGTGCAGGAGAAACTCAAAACTAAAGACGATCAAATGTGAGTTTTCGGATTTTCACTTCCCGGGCGCCCTCAGGAATCACTCGCTTCTCTGAGCCAAGTTTCATCGAACGAGGCATCCATTTTCAGAGTGGAACTCAAGAAAAGTCTTGACCTCATGTGCCGACGTCATTCTGACTCAGAAGAACAAGCCAAAATCCTCACCCAAGCTCTACAGCGGAGCCAAGCAGACCTCCACGGCCTCTCTGATCAAGCAGAGAAATGGCGTGTTGAGCACCGCAACGAGATCGAACGTCTCACAAGAGTACTTGAAGAACTCAAAGAACGTAACAGGTATTTGCTTTTTCTTTCGTCCTCGCTCGATATCGTATTGGACATCGGAGGCGGGATTGCAACGATGTAGGCGGCCAGAATGCGACGATGACCATTCTCAGCATTTCGACGACCCACAGATGCCTGCACGCAGTGAACATGGATCAAGCACGTCAAATGAATGGAGATTTGTCGTCTTTGTGCGCCTCCCCTGGGGAAAATGATGTAATCATGAATTCGGCTTCTATCAGGGACAATATGCATCTTAAACAAGAGGTGAGTCCCCCTCTGTCCCTACACACCGAGACTGTTCCAGAAGATCATCTTCGTCCCCCTCTCGAGGACAGTCCTGTAAGATATTCTCTGCGGAACTCGACCTTGATTGCTCACCAGGCCGAGGAAAAACAGGAATATCAAAGGCGAGCCACGATGATATGAGAGAAACCGAGAATTAATACTGACTGAGACTTTCCAACCTTTGCTTGGGTATACATAGAACCCTCGACCCAATCTCTCAGCCTTTGACGATGCGTGTTGCACTAGAAGGCGCTCACCTAGAGACACTTCTCTATCCTGTCTTATGATTTCTCTTGCTCCCAAGAGACCTTACGTAGATGAAACTTTCGCTGATCCTTTGTTTCTAATACATGTTCTTTTCCCGTTGTGTGTCCGTTGGCAGTTCGTGTGGTATGTATAAAGTCGTGTTGTCGTAACTTCTATGACTAATTGCTTGCTTGTTAACGGCTGATCCAATGCTGCTTCTGCATGAGAGAGCAGATATCGGTACCTCTCTTGGGGTTCCAGAGTCGTGGAGCGAGTTCGTATCGCTCCTGCAAGCGGGGCGGGACACGAACCGCTTCCCCGCAGTTCGTATTCTGTCGGTATTGTAACATTGCCTGCTCCCTGCGCTCGGATATGCAGACGCCATGACTCGGTCGGCTCAGCATGATGCTCGATGTCCTTGCTTGGAGGCTTCTCCTGCACATTCTACTTGGAAGTTTCGTTTGCGACCCTTCTCCCTCCTGACCAGCAGGCCAGATAGATCTCTTTCTCACAAGAGACCGTCCATTGTCCGAGATCATGGAGACATTCACTCTAAAATCTCTAGCCCGTGTTTGAGTTGAACCTGTGTTGATCATCATGACCCTGTCTTTCCTCTTCGGCGAATTCAGAGCCCCTATCCAACCTACGTGAGGGCTTTCAACGGTTGATGCCCTACGGTGGCATATTCCTTCCATAGAGCTCCCTCAGTACGACTCATTTTCACCAAAGGGCTTGGAGAACATCACGATTCACGCACGTCATAAGCTCGTTTGATCGGTCACCACGGTGGGGAACAGCACTCCGATAATTCCACTCGACTGTCAGATGACAATCTCTCGCTTGCGACTTGCAGATCAGCAAACTCAGAGAAGAAGCTGCGACCAAGGACGACCTTCTGCGTGCTTTCCATCGATCGCGACAATTGTGGGAAGACAATTACCAGAGAGTCCGCGTGGATCTCCGCATACGCGACCAGCAGCTCGATTCTATCCTCGACGTTCTGAAAGGCCTGCCGGATGTCGTGGATCAGTGTCGACCCCTGAAAATGATATATTCGAACCTCACGGATCCCAAGACGAAGCCGATAGGGAAGAAGCTCGGTGTGACAAACAGCGTGGTGGCGTCGGCTGTTTGAAGGGATCCAATGAACTCGGAAGAACAGCATCTGAGATCGCCCCCCCCTTCATCGAGTATCAGTTTGTACCAGGAGGCTGTTAGTGTTGAGGAGGATCTGACGTTCACGGAAATTCCCAGAACAAAAGATGGAGTCGACTCGATTCTGCTTCTCGGGTCGTGCATCTTGCTTTTCATCCATCCTGATCAAGTCGCACGATAAACCCAGGAGTTGACTGGGCTGCGCGTTGCAACGCTCCGGTTGGCAAAATGAGACTGAAAAAGCGAGGCTCTGCACCATGTCATCTCATCCGATGCGCGGAACTCGTAGGTCCGACCAACAAGTGAATCAATTCGAGATCACCTCTAGATACCCGAAAATGGACAGCTCCTCAGTGGATCAAGATAAGCTGCTTGATGAGAAAATGACCTTGAGTACGATCGGATATCCTGAATTACTAAGCGTAAGCGCTTTCTTGAATGCTTCGCTGTGCCATCTTTTTCGAGAACACACATCAGAAAGGTTGTAGTCGACCGGCCAATGTATCAAACAACTGTGAACAATCGCATATCAAGCGTCATCCTCTTCGGAGCGACAATAAAGCGAGTGAACAGCTTTCCCAATGAAAATGTCTCCATCCTTCAAATACGATCACTGTATTCTCTATCTCGGGCGGTGTACCTCAGTTTGAAGGCGGACTCAATGTGTTGTTCAAAGAATTTTCCATGATGAGCGTAGGATCAGGTTGAATATCTCGAGGTGTCACTTCGTCACCTTCGCGATTCGATTCCGATAATCGAATATGGGTCTGGAAATCAAGCGGTCGCGCCAAAAGCTGTGAGTTTTCACGGTATCCCCAGGCGACCCTCCTTAGAAGATGGGCACGTCTACTTTATGCGGCGGAAAAAACCTGAAGCCTCGAATAGATACCGTCATTCTGGGTCCTCCAGCGCGAAGGAGCTCCGCGAGGCGGGTCGATGACCTACCTTCATTTTCCAGCGAAATTCTGCCATTTGGCGACCTGGTTTCAGGATTCAGAGAGGTGTTACCTCGAATTTGCATTCGATTATGCTCGCGACGGGAGCACACACAAGAGTCCGCTCAGAGAATTCGCTGAGGATTCCTGATAACCCGAGCATGGGAAACGAATGTACCAATGGACTCCATGCGACCGAACATGATGCTGCATACGTTCTTCGAAGCTCGTTGGATCTTCTGATCTAGTATCGCGGATCGCGGGTCATCCTGCCCTCGACCACCTGATTCTTCGATTTTTGGGAATTGCTTATCCACGTGACACCCCGTCGCAGCTCTCTTCCCGCGGCATGCACCTCGCTCTCCACAACTGTGATACTATTCAATGAAATTCAACTCGATACATACGTAATGTGCGATGATCTATCCTCTCGCATCAGGAAACTCGAGCGAATGAAAGTGAACTCCGCTTGATGGGAATACCGCTCCATGGGATTCTCCGCCTTATCGGATCGCTCTCAAGAGAGTCCCGATTATTTGAGCAAGCTTATCTGGGTAGTCGGATTCTCGTAGGTTGCGATTCAAGTATATCCATCTCATCCAAATCGGTGCGCCCAAGAATGATCGGGAAGCATGCCGGGAACATGATGCTTCGGATTCCAGAAAAAGGCTTCGAGCCAAGTCTGCGAACATTGAATATCGGATCGAGCTCATGGAGGCTTCAGAAAACAGCCGAGCAATGGGCAAGAGACCTTTGGATGTCCGTGCTCCCATCTGTCATGGGCACGCTGATGGGCATGGAAAGGTGATGAAAATCTTCTCAACGAGTCCTAACATCGCCGCTAGATACTCTCGGAAGCTGCGAATTCGATTCCTGACAAGCAAGGGCACAGACTCAGAAAAGAACAGAAGACCGCTCCGATTCGGAAAATTCGGATTAATCGACAGGTCTCATTTGATGCTCGATTCAAGCGTTTCCGATCCATGGCCCTCCCTCGGGTCATTGGAGTACCATAGCCACTATTTTCGCACACGGTCACGGTATCTTCCTCCGCTGGTGGAGTTAGAATTCCCAAGTTTGCAATATTCATCCGAGAGCGCCGATCTCCGCATGAGCAAAAATTGGTGAACCGACAAGCAGTCATCAACAAGAAGGCAGGTGAGATTGTCACAAGCTCCGTATATCTCGGTACGGCTAGTGTGCCCTCTCTCGCTATGGAGCGGAATGATTCGGGGGCTCGAATCCCGTTCGAGCTATAGGTCACAGATGGTGATGTTGATGTTCAGGATACGTATTCATCGCTATCCATGTTTTTTTCGGAATATCAGCGGGGAACACCGTGGACGATATAGTCAGCAGCGCGGTGACCCTTGAATACGCTAGATTGATGCAGGATTTCACCCGGATATGTTGGAGGTTGGTCCGTCTGATCTCAGGGGATTTACTTCAACTACCATCCGCGGGCATCAATCTCAACATTTGATATCGCACAACCCCATTCTTAGAGCAAATCGAACTCGATCGGGAAATTACATTCACAGTATTGATGTCAATCGACGGGGACCTCATACCATCTCCTTTCAAGAATTTCTCACACGATGGAATGAAGATCGATGGGAGAAGTATCGCATGCCGAGTTCTGTTGTTCATCTCGGGAGTCTTCGGCTAGGCATGAATGGAAGGTGTAGAATGAAAGTATGAATGAAAGTTCCAAAACCCAAAGGTAGGGACATTCGTCTGGCGGAAATTCGCCACGGAGTTTCCACCACATTCAAATGAGTCGACGGAGGGACAATAAGGGCTACCTCTCGTCACGGACACTCGGATCGGAACAGGAGCGCCCAGATCTCATCGGGAGATCTGCACTATCAGAGACGAGAGCTGTAACGCCTCGACGCCCGTACGGTTCGGTTGAACGGAATCCGCGGAGTTTTACTGAATGGGCCTAGAACCCGTTTCGCGCGTCCGTACCGATAGGGCGCATCGATGGAGAACGTTCCGGTCAAGACCCACGGGAGATGGAACGATTGAGAGCGCGTTCGATGAATTTCGTGGATGCCTTTTCGAAATTTCGCGGAGAGGAGCGAGGATTGTACATCGAGTTCTAGCGCAGCTATCTCTGTGACAATGCGTGATGTCTCAAGCGGTCAGCTGACACGCTCGGCAATCATTTTTATCGAAGGTCGCCGTGAGCTGTACAATCCGTGCTGGGAACAGCTCGAGAAGGCCGCTCTCATTGTCAGAGGCACTGGGTATTCCGTCCGGTAGAGGAAGCTGACTGAGAATATGCCGCATCTCAGGTAGGGCTGTCCACCTGAGACAACAGGTCGATCGCAATACCGTTCGCTCGACCGCACGAAACGACGAAATTCCGAATATTGACACCAAGGAGAAAACTTATTCCGGGCTGTCGCTGAAAACAATGTTGTTGCAATGTTGCACACCGAAACACGCAGCACGGCAGGTTTTGACAACGTGGTCTGACGGCAACGCCTCCGCCGACCTACCAACCGCCCATCCTCAGCGCCCATCCTTTCCACGAGCGCCCTCCTCTTTTCGCCGAGAGCTTTTCTCTCCCCTCTTGTGTGGCGGCATTCTCTCTCTCTTTTCGATGCTTGAATCTCTCGTTCGTTGGTCCGAAAGCAAGGTTCCCCCACAAACATCAGCGACAGAATGCATTTTCTACAACGTCCAAGCCTGAGTTCTGGCATCGAAATCATATTGTGTACGACTGTGTAGTATTCCGACTTGTTGGGTAAGGCGGCTCAGCTTGCACATCGCGTGCGCGTCAAGACCGACTGTCTGTCAACATGGGAAAAAAAGCAAGAAGCTAGGTAATGTCGATGACATTACCTTAGATTCACGTGAAAACGTTTAATGACGATTTTTCCGGCAAGCGGTCGGCTTGCCGAGGTGTCAAATCATGACAAATAGACCTATCCCTCTATCGGCCCACTGTAGGATGGAATTGGGTTAGTTTTCATGAAAGCTCGGTTAGAGCCCACTCATTGCCCGACGGGGCTGCGATATTCAATCATTCTACGAGAGATGGTTTTCGTGGTTCGAAGGCATCGATACCTCTTCTGAATCCCGTCGGCATAATCAACGAAAACTGCGTCAGCTATCGAGTTTCGGAAGTTTTTCCGCTTCACGAATCTAGAATCGAAAGCCACACCTATATACCAATTGTAGTCCTTGGGCTGACGAAGGAGGAAGTCCTTTCGGACCCTCACTGCGGCTTCCTCGACGAATCCGCTAAGGTACAACGATTGGTGAATGTTTTTGGTCTTCAGTTCGACATAGAGCGCGTCATCATCCAGGGGACGCAGTTGAGTTTGAGCCTTGCTCTTGACGTGGAGGGGACGTCCATATGATAAGTAATCATAATCATACGATAAGTAATCATATGATACGTTTGAGCTGAGTTTAGCTTCTTGAAATTGCATTTGTGTCCCCATCGGGGGAACATCAGCCGAGTGTTGTGCAATGGAGGCCTTGACAATCTTCAAATGTCGCAGAAAGCGGAGCCTCTCATCCATGTTACAAGCATGGCGGTACACGTTTTGGAGGAAGACACGCCGGAATTGCTGAGTTTGCGTTCCACTGCAGCAGTGTAGTAAGAATATCGCATGATTCCGTCATCATGGTGGAATCGATCGCGACCGCAGCTTTTCTGACCACGGCGACCTTCGGAGCCGGAGCCGAAGTCGACTCTTGATGAGTCGCCCCATGAAGAGATCCTCCCGATGACAGCCTAAATCTGTTGACACGCGCACTCGCTGAGCTTGAAGGTACTTCGTCGTGCCGCTTCTGTCGCCAGGAGCTCCCTTCGAAGGGTCTCATCGATCGTCGATAAGCTCGATTCACCTCAAGTCAGGAGAACTACTTGGTTTTCTTCGTTGTTCACCCCGGCAAATTATAATCGTGATCGAAGCCCGACTCGATCTCGATTTCGGCAGTTTCCATCGAATAATCAGAAGCCCCAGGTTCTCGCTCTTATATTTCTGCTGCCTTCTGTCGGGCTCTCACTCGCCGACCTCGCCTT